TTCTGTTGCAGCAAAAACTTAATTCTATCATTTTAAATTAAGGGCTCTCTATACCTTTTAAAAATTAATAAAAATTAAACTACTGGTTTTTGATAGTCGATTCCCATTATTATTTCGCACTGTTACTTGATGACTTGCGTAGTCAAGAATTCTTACATGTCCATTACATCTTACTTCTGTTACAAATTCTTTAATGGATTTTCGGAGACCTTCAGGGATATTATTTTTTACTACCTTTCAGAATAATTTGATGGAAGAGATTGAAAGTTTTTTTAATATTTAAAAGAAATGTCGTTATCGCAGTAAAACAAAATGTATGGAATTCAGATTTGCGAGGCAATTATGGAAGCTTAGTTCTGTTACAAAAATTGCATGAAAAAGTAGTAGTTTTCGTCCGAGTTGCTAAACGATGAAGAGAATATAATAACAGAAGTGCTCTTGTGATAATCTATCGACTCACTTCTTCAGAAAGAATTCCGGTTAAAAAAAGAACCCAGAATTCGGAGACTTCAGTCTACCTCTGTACCCTTGAGAGTATAAATATCCAACACTTTCTTCATTCCAGCGGTTTCCGAGGTGGACTTTTTGACATCGAGAGATGGCAATGTTTCAGAAGATCGTGTTTATATAAAAAAAAGCTTAATTAGTTACCTCAGCTCGCTTGTTACAGATATCTAAGCTACTAACGGATGGCATTTGGTTCGAAAGAAGCTTTCTAGATACTAGAATTATTAGTTGTCATTTTCAGTTTTTGTCTTCTTCTTCCAAAGCAGCTCATTGTTTCAAGAGAATTGGACTTGATCCAAATTCTGGAATTTAACATTTCAGCACTTGCGTAAAGCTTTGAAACATTTTGTAACTTTATCTTTTTTTTTTTTTTTTTTTTTTTTTTTTTTTTGCTTTAATGCACCTAAATGGTCTTCCGAAGAGGGATATCCTTCTTTTTCCTAATTAATCATTTGTTTTTGCATCATATTTCAAATTACGAAAGAGAGTTTCGGTTTAAAATTTTAAATAAGTTAGCTCTTTTCCTTTAATATGTATGTAAGTTCATTTACACTTTAAAAATCGTAATATTTGCTCCGAAATATTATAACCAAATATGTCAAAATATATTCCTATTAGGTTTCACACTACAGTAAATTAATCAGTTTATTTCATTAGCTATTACTATAAAACCTGCACCACGATTTTATCAAATGCACTTTGTGGGACCTTTCGAATACGCGTTGAGTGTACTACCACGAATGCGTGCTGGAAGAAGAGAGAAAATACCTTATATTCTCCCCCCTTTTAAAGAGCAACAAGGGATTAGGGGTTCCAATTGCCAAATTCTAGTGTTGACGAATGCTTGTCCGCCACTTTTTTACTTCGCCATTTATAGAGTCATTAGGTTATTTTGATGCAAAAGACATGAAAAATGAGCAATGCCGTCGCCGGGACTCGAACCTGGACCTCTCGAATACGCATCGAGTGTGTTATCATTACATCAAGAAGGCATGCTGGAAGGAGAGAGAAAATACCTTATAACTTCATAAGTTAATGAAACTGCCATTAAACTCTCTTTAAATTGGGATGATTTAAATAAAATGTCTTAATCTAGAATGGAATATATTACTTTATTGTCATATCACAAAACAGTGATGCCTTTAATAGCGAACGCATGCATAGGTTACTTACTACATTTGAAAGTAATCAATATTTCGCAATACGCAAACATCGGTATCGACAATATCCGCTAGTCATGTTTTGTAGGTCGGCCCCCTAGATTAAAAACTAAAATTGTCTAGAATCATGGACTGTCGTCTGATGGCATTTCATAATACGTCTCATAATCTTAAAGAGGTTCCACTGTAGACTAAATTGAAATCAAAGTACTTATTCAGTGGCTTTAATACTGCTGTATGAAATCATAACAATTTTTCATTTAAGTCGCCCCCCCCCCAAAAAAAAAGGGAGGACAAATCATTTTCATACCAAATTCTTTGACTATAAGGAATATTATCTCACATTTGCAAATTTATGTATTTCTTAGCACATGAAAGAGATGTTATTTTTATTCAAATCTTCCACTCCGTTTACTTTGCAACAGAAGTATTAATTTTTGGGCAACCAAAATATCAAGCATTGTTACATAATTACTTAGTATTCCTTTAGAGGTTCCAACGACCTTAATAATGGAATTATGTGCTTAAGCAGAAAAAGGAGCCTTTATTTGAAGAAGGCTTTTATTTTTTCTCTTCCAGTTTTACAGGAAAATTATCTTCGCTTACAAAAGAAATAAATTAAAATAAAAAATCTGAATGGGTTCATAATCTGAATGGGTTTTAACTGTCACTCAAAAGGACTTTTAACAGCAGACATTATCAATAGAGATGGCCCACGTAGAAAAGCGAAATATTTTATAAAATACTAGACAAATACACATAAGAATAACATGGAAACATTTTATATCTTCTCTATGTAAGAAAAGTGAAAAAATATGTAATATAATTCTAAAAAAAATTTGTGATTTTAATTAAATATATCATAATATAAATTCAGTGTTTAGAATCAGATTAAAAAGTAAAATAATAATGTTCTTAAGAACTGCGTCTATTGCTTTTAAATAGCTTAGTTTGTTAACCAATATCAAACACAAGATACATAAATATCTTATATTTTGCTAAATGGGAGCAGACGCGAATGAAAAAGTAAAGCAAAGTATTTGCAGTAGATGACGTATTAAAAGCGAATCAACGTAAATTATGTTTCGAGACTAGCAACCCTTTTTTGAGCATAAACTACGGAAAATGGGATGGTGAGCTTGATGATCAGAGAATGAGTTTCTTGGGCTTGATTTCTGATCGCAAAAATATTTATAACTACATGTTTCGTTATTAGCCTGGTAAAATACAGCTTCGACATAGTAAAAGACGTATTTTCATCTTTGCATAGTGTTACGAATTTGGTATTTAAAAACCTAATGTTACTTCAATTATAAATTAAATGGTTTTATTTCTCGCGCAGTGCAGCGCGTGACGAATATTAAAAGAAAGCTAAGCCGGAAAATTGAAAATACAAGAGCGCGTGCATTAAATAAATAAATATCTCTTTTTGATTTCGAGAAAGTACTGGAAAATTCTAGCGCGTGATTTTAAAATCTTATAAAAGGAGGAAAACATCTCAGTTTGTAGTAGATGCTTAATTTGTTGTTGTTTAGAAAACTGCTCTTGTTGATTGTAGCGAATTCGCGGATTAGCGTTCTTTAGCTGTTTTGAATTACGTTCTATTGGACATTTGAGTAGTTAAAAGATAACTACTGTGAGATATTGTAATACTGCATGATAATTTGAGAAAATTTAAGCATTTTTGTTGTGATAATAATAAATTTTTGTTCATTTTTCATCGGACTTGTGCATTCATTTCATAACGAACCCGTACGCACGCAACAATATAAATAAAGCTTTATTGATTACTTCCCTGTAATTCTCCATCTCCAGTTTTATGTCAACGGAGAAATGCGATTTCCGGATTTCTCTCATTGTTAGGCTCTTAAGGGATTACGTCAGGCATCTAGTTAGAGCGAAAGGATACATTTCGCTATCTACCAGAAAAAAACTCGCAGAAGTAGAGAGGTATCTACATTGTAAACTTTTATTACTGTGTTTAGCTATAGCTAGAAACATAATAAAATAAAATTTGAACGAAGTTTCATTTGTAAGAAGAAAAAAAGATTACAAGGAAAAAAACTTACACAAATTTACATACTGCTCCTCAAATTTTAAAATTTTAAGCAGGGAATTTTAACAATAACTGAATAAATAAAAAATATTTTATATAATTATTATATTATTTATATTTATATAAATTAACGTCGAACGTTATTATAAATTAACGTCGAACGTTATTATAAATTAACGTTTAAAATATTTTATATAAATTAACGTCGAAATATTAATCTTTTTACAAAAAGATTTTAAAATGAAATTTTCTGTTCGGATGCGATGTTTTGTAGCCAGAATGTTTACAGATACTTTCTTTTTTTTATAAAACATTTAATTTGACATTGCACAAGAAACGTTTCACAACAATTAATATCTTACAGCACAAACACGACGAAATAGAATAAAAATGCAAAATAACTATGCCTGTTATTTATTAAGCTATCATATCAAATTTATCTATCCTGTATCGAATGCCACATAATTGATTGTAAAATATTACTTTTTTACTTCGCAAAAAATATGTTTCTTTCTTTTTATTATATATTAGTAAGATTCTTTGAGGAATGGCATGTAAATAAGAAAGATGTTTCGAAAATTTAAAAGTAAAGAAAATAAATTTGTATCTAAAAATAAAGAAAACTCTAATTAATTAACTAGAATTACCAAATTAGGATTAAAAAACGTTTGCGCAATTTTTATAGCAAAAATATTTTTTCTCCGGAAGAAGAAGGATCACAGTGGAAACTGATTTCATTTAAAATCTATACTGCAAGAAGGTTGCTTTTTTACCTAATTTTGAATTTTGCCCTGAAAAGGTTTTTCTTCCAGTTTGGTTGCACGTAATTCTTAATAAAACATTTTTATATAATTTTATTTCGCAGTTGAATACTATATTTCTTAAAAAAGGATTATAGCATTTTATTAAAATTACTTAACATTTTTCTATAATTTTATTTTTCAGTAGAATACTATATTTCTTAAGAAAAAAAATATAGCCTTTTATTCTTAATACTATGAAAAACAGTCATTCATATTTTACTGTATGTGTTTACTGTTTTAAATTACTTTTTTTTTTAAACTTTGGCATTTTGGTGAATTCATTCTGCCCATCACAATATCTCAATGGCTGATGAATAATAGAAAATCGTTAATTAAATTTTTAAAAATTACAGGTAATTGTAATATAATGCAATCCATAGACGTATTACTGCGAAAAGTGCAATATCGGGCGTTCTTGCGAAGGTTTGCTGATTCTTCTCATCACAAGCTGCGAGAAATGTAATGAATGTATCATTAGGACTTGCGAAGATCGTCCTCAGAGTCAGGAGTAGCATAGCGAATGAAGCGCTCTCTGTTCTTCCAGTACTTTTCACGGTCTGTCACGAATTTATGTGCATCGCGTGCTATCCGAAGCACGCGCTTCGTGTATGGTGTTTGTGCTCTTTTGAGACCTGCAGAAAGAAAAAAGATACATTGATATAAGATAGTATAAATAAAGTGAAATTGCGCTTTGCACGCAAAGCAGCCTATTAACTGAATGAAAGACACTGCATAGTATCGAATCAGGTTTTTTTTCATGTATTTTTTAATTGAAATATGTCTTATGTTTATTTTTATCGTACAAAATTATCTGAAGCGTGTAATCTTTATATATATGGCAGCCAAAAACATAGATATCAGAAAGGAAAATCTAGAATAAAAGCTTGTTGCTAGGCGACTCAATATTGAACAATTTCAAAGGCTTGAGCTTCTTGAATATTATCGTAATGTAATTGCACTTACATGAATGAATAAATTTGATGCATTTTAATTTATTAAAATGAACGAAATATTCTGAAACAAAATAACATTTTTAATTTTAAGAATAGCATAGAAGAAACTGTATAAAAAAAAGCAAAATCCATTGTATTGTGAGAATGAGGTACAGAAAACTACATATTAAAAATACAAAATTCCTTTAAACCCTGAAATTTAAAAAGTTTATATTGCAAAGAATTACCATATACCCCATTGCAAGCTTTCGTGATGTATATGGTAGCACGTCCAGCTAGCACTGGAAGATCCGTGGTTCGAATCACGGAGAGACACTATTAATTTATCAGGTTTTCCATCTCCGGAAACCTATCAGTCTACAAGAGGGCACCCAAATTAAAACGATAATTTATCACTGCCTAAATATGGACCACTGGGTGTCGTATCTATCCCCAGCCGCCTTTTAGTGGGTAAGACTGTAAGAACTTAATGCATTTTACCCGTGTGCTCTTGCTGTGTAAGCTGTATCACATCCAATTAGCTTTTAAGAGCATCGAGGTTAAAATCCCAGCAAGTGCAGAGACGATTTTTCCCTGTCCCTACTTCGGGAGGAAGCGGTGGAAAAAAACCTAATAATCCTATATACTTCTAATATCAATATACTATTTTATATCGGTAGGTGATTAAAGCTTTATAGAAAGAAAGATAACAATAACTTACAGTTTCCAGTAAATTACAAATTAGTTTTTTACTAAATACTGCATTTTGTTAATTGTTTACTTACTAAGTGTTAAGAAATATTTTACAAACAATTTATTGTACACGTAATTAATAAATTTTCATAATTTTATAATTTTTTCCAATTATTTATTAATTTTACATCTATTCTTCGTCATTTTTTTTTTACTAAAATACTAAAAAAATAACCACAACAAGGTAGTACATTTTTTTAAAATTGTTAATCAGAACAGTAGCTCGTGCTATGTTAAATGACAGCAAAATCCTCTTATCTTGAGAAAATCGAGCTAAAAGTAATTAAATCTTGCTGAAATACTAAAAGAAGACACGCGAAGAGAAATTAATCAGGGGGAAAAGATGAAAATTACCACCGAAAGTTAGTGCAATTTATGTACAACTAGTAGGATTCACTCTGACCATCTAACCGTATCTTCCACTATAAACTCTAGTAAAAGAAAACGAACCCAGAACCACATGAGTTATCCTTGACGCGAGGTTCTGGATTATCTCTTCCTACCTAGCAATCAAAGCAGAAGGTATATGTGTCCTATGGATTTTATATATTTTACACTAATTCTCTTTTTTTATAATTAATTAGTTTACCTTTATCTCGTAAAATACCCTGCAGGAACTTTTTGTCCTGACTTAAGGAACGAGATATACTGGGAGCGATGCAACTCTTTGGTCGCTCTTTGGCTTTTTTGCTTCTTGCTGTCGAAGGATGAACCCTTGGCAAATCTTGTTTTAGTGCTTCAACCTTAGGAACATCTTCTGCAGAACTTGATAAAGAATACGATAAAGATTCAGTACTGGCGTCTGGACTTCGTTCTGAAAAAGGATACTGTAATTAAAAACAATGCGTTACATAACTGCCATAAAATTGGTTATTCTTGATTGTAAAACTGGTGCAATTTCCTTAATGCTATCGCAGATAGTTAATTGTCTAAACCTATAAGCATATCTTTGTAATTGAAGAAAATGCTTGCTTCGAACACTAATTGCATTAACGGAGATATATCTGTAAGATGCCATGATGTCTTAAAATACCCGGTTTAGTTCAGCAGACTTAAACATAAATGTGACTTTTCATTTGCGAAGTATCTGATAGCTATAAGTATTATTGAACATCCTAAAATCAAAATTTCTAAAACATTTGTGTTGAGCCGTTTGATGTTTTATTTTGAAATGAATGTTAAACTTCTGTCAAACTTTGTTAACTTAACCTATTTAAAAATTGAAACTGAAATGCATTGTTACTATTTTTCTTATAAAAAAGTTCAGACTAAAGCTAGTGCAGTCAGAGGTAAATGAACGAGTTAATTTTGTTTGGACTTCATAAAAGTGATTTCTATTCGTATCAGGGTCTGCTGAATTTTTTATGAAATCCAAGAGAGAAAAACTCAGAAGGCTACAATCATGGATTCAGCTACTTTGCTCGTACATAGGGCTGTTTATCTATTATTATTGTTATTAGACGTATAAATAAAATAAAAACAATACTATTATTTAGTTAGGCAATACCAGAGCCTCATTATAATTTTCAGACTAAGTGAAAAGTTGTAAACTAAATGCATTTGACACTATTTTAAATTAAATATACAGAATTCCGAAATTAAAAATAAACAGCAGGTCATGTCGTCAAATCATTAGAGCTGTCGAAAGAAAGAACGAAAAATGTGCAATGCCCTCGACGGAATACGAACTCCCTATCTCCTTACTGAACTCACTTCCAATTACACTGCGAAGGCATGCGGTAAAGAGCCTACTGTAGAGTACAATACTACTCAGGCGGTACTGTAAAGTCGTTTCTCAAAATAGAAAACGTGAAAAATGTCCGACACCCTCACCGGGATTTGAATACCAGACTTCCTGACTGCTAGCCAGGGTTGCTTCCACTTACCCCAAAAGCACGCAGTAAAGATGAATAAAATACCTTACAGTGTAATATTAGACACGTGATTCGGAGAAGCCATATCTAAGATTTCCAGTCGGGATCGTGAAGATGCACAACCTAGTGTCTTCGAAGTGTTTATTAGCTTGGTTTTATTAGCTTGGTTTAACAAAAATTTTAAAATTACTTAAATTTTCAAGAATCAGTAGTTTTCTATTCAAAAGTGGATATTACTAGGCTTTATCAATGTTAGTTTCTTTATTTTCTCGTTTATCTGAGTCGAAAACATTTTTAGATTTTCGACTTCTTCTTTCCTCAGCTATTTTAATTCAAAAAAAAAAAAAAAAAAACTACGATAATTATTTATATATATTCTAATTCTATGAGCTGCACAGACGGTATAGTGGTTAGGGGAGCATACTGCGGTATCGAAGAGCCAAGTTCGAACCTTGGAGTAAGCATAAATGTTTATAAATGTATAGTGTCTATGCGGCATGGGGTCACTCTAAATATGCAGCGAGCCGAAATTCCTCTCGAGAGGTTGATAATAGGGAAAGGTGGTGTGAAACCCTCAGATCCGTCCTTTCCCCGGGGATGCTCTCCATCAGATCTGTGGGCGGAGCTGAGCGAAGTCATATTGTCACCTGTATGGGGTTGAAGGCTGTTGCCAACGACAGGCGCAATCTTGCTCTCCTTGCTACGATGAATTTCGTGGGCTTGTTCTGATGTTATTGTCAGAGAAGTGAGATAAGTCACAAAATAAGAAATAGCAGGTGGAATATAAGAAAATTATGTTAATTGAAATATTTGATTTCTTTTTTTTTGTGTACTTACTTGACAGTAAAAGTGGTGAATCTATATGTGAAGCTGACGGAGAAAAGGCAAACCATTCGCTGGTATAAGCTTCGGCTCTTTCTCTGTTCTTTCTTGCTGCAGCTGTCTTAGGCCTAACATTCAAAGTTTTCTGATCTATTCGTTCACTACTAATCTTCGTCGATCCATCGGACTAAATTTAATGAAAATGTTTTAAACTTAAGCATGTCTAAGAACAATTTTGAATGATCGAAATAGATTTAATAAAGAAAATTAATGAAATGACAATAGAATATACAATCACTCTAGAATGGGATCTTCTTGATATATGAGATGTTACAGGTCTTATTGTTTGATGTCTCACATCTTCTTTGTCTGTTAAGGCTGATGATTTCTCTTTGGAATAAGGAGACAAAGCTGACGAGGGTCGACGGCTTATTGAAGAGTTAGACTGGGATGGTGTTAAGAAAGATTCACTGGCCGGAGACGGAGTCATCTTTAATTCAGTTTACATATAAAAGGCGTAAAGAGTGAATAAATATAAATTATTGGCAATAAAACTTAATCAATATGATAAGAGCAGAAATTTAAGTACGAAAATAAAAAAATAGGGAAAGAAAAGTAAGTGATTCGAGAACTAGTAACATTAAGACAGACCTTTAAACGCATATTTTAAGTACCACACATAATTGTGTAGATCTTCATGCACATATTTTACTAAATACCTAACGTAAGACAAGAATTTATTTATAAATCCCGGAGTTAGAAATGATTAAATTTATGTTATTTAAATAATGCTCTATTATTAATGTTATACATAAATATTAGTCTCTTGTAAGAAGTACGAGGGTTATGTATAGTGAACCCTCCCGAAGGCGACCATCCGTGATTCCAAATGAATTTAGTTTTATGTGAAAGTAGTTTGTTTTATAAAAGTTATGTATAATACTAATGCTTATTTATTTTCTCATAAATGCTATTCCTTTTCAGAAGTAGTCGTATACGGAAGGTCGTAGACTTTTGTATTTTATACGATATAAGGTTTATCCTAAGTTTATAACAGTTGTTTTTAATTTAAAGCTCCTTTCCTATCTCTCCTAATTTCAGCTTACAGAATTCATATCAGAATGTATTTTCAGAACCGCGTTGAAAGCAAATGAGCAGGAGTAGTATTTAAGTCGAAGTTCCACTGACTTCGAAAGAGAGAATCAGAGTTCCAGACTAGGGCGCGTTGGCCTTTTGGCCACATCTCTCTAAGCTGTTACTACGCTCGGCAGTATTACGGGCCCTTGATAGCTTCGCTAACTAATTCGATATTTATGGGCCAATTACTTAGAATTGTTTTAGCTTCGGCTAAATCTTTGTAGTTAGTCATTAGTTAAGTTCTTATTTCTTCTAATTTTAAGCCCAAGTGGAGGCTTTGTTGTACGTCCTGAGAAAGGGGCCATCAGTTAATCCTTATTTTGTGCAATAAAAGGTAATTAACCCTTCTTGAGTTTCACGTTTCTGTTACTGAACTTGAGCGATTATTCGCTTAGCTGTTCACTAGGTTCCTCCACACTTAGTTATTAGATAAAAGGGAGGAATACCACAACATAATAATGAACACATTCTTAATTTAAACATAAATTTTTAAAAACTGCGGAAACGTTGGCTTTTCCTATAATTAGTTTATTGAGGCTTTAATTATTTACTATAATCAATTTATATCACCCCAAAAATAACATTTTAATATCACCACATAAGTTAATAAGATAATTAGAATGAAAGACAAGGAAGATTTATCTCTCGTGCACGTTAAAACGAAGATCTTACGTTTACGAATATACTGTGGTGAAAAAAATAAAATAAAATAAAGAGTACATCAAAAATTTTAGAATTATTCATATACTGAAATTTCAGAAACGTTTTATAGAAATTATTTCTTTTATTATTAGTTAAAATTAATGCAAACTTTGAAATTTAAAATTTTGTAGTTTAATTTCTAATAAAAGCACTCAAATAGAAACTTAAACCTCGCATATATATAAGACTAGAAAGCCCGGCGGTCATACGAAATGACTGCTGTTCTAGATATTATAAATTGCAATTTAAATTATTTGTGCAAAAGTGTCTGCTAGTTCAAACTGAATTACCCAAGGCAGGCGGTGAGGACGCCCCTTTGCTTACTGCCACACGGGGTTCCCCCCTTCTACTTGCTTAATTGCTTAAAGTAGACTGCAATGAAGGAAACCACTGGCGGTACATTTCTTAAGAGCCACCGCTAGCTCAATAAATAAAGATGATTTAAATAATAAATTGTTAATTCACATGTCAAAGATCTCTTTGTACACAACATTTCTTGAGTAGATCTTTCCACCATTTTTCAGCTCGCCTTGCAGAGGACCATCCATTATTTTTAATTTTACATCCGTTCTTTCACGAACTCTTGAACAGGCAACATAAAGTTGATCGCGTCCAAATGCAGGCTCAGGTAAAAAAATGGCAACATGCTTAAACGTTTGGCCTTGAGACTTATTGATGGTCATAGCAAAGGCAAGTTTTACAGGAAATTGTCTACGTCTCAATTGAAATGGCAACCCTGTGCCGTGGCAACTTCACCCATTGGCTAGTATAGTTACGCAAGCAACCAATAAACTATCGCCGACAAACAGACACTTAAGCCGCATATATATATGGGGTGAAGTAACATCATCTCCTCCAAAACGGCTCGCTCCTGGGCTTAGCGAAGCACACCGTTGGATTCCGCAAGTCCATGGCACGCCATTTTGACCATTCGCGTCTTCGTTTGACTTTAATTAGCCGAGATATTAATTAAAAACTAATTTTCGCCTACGTTTTCCCTACATTTTCCACTTTCTTTCTTGGGTTATCCCTATTAGAGAGATTTGGCTACGTGCCAAATTCTTTTTTCTCGAATATCTACGGAACGGCTCCGAGTTGAAATTCGAGACGCGTATCCTCGGATTTCAAAAAATTCTCCCAATCCATCGATACCGTTCTCGTCTTCGTACGACGTCAATCGGCCGAGATATTAATTAAAAACTGCAGAAACGTTGATTTCCGCTCTTATTTTTCCGAGTCGCAACAATAAACTATCGGTGACAAACACTTAAGCCGCTTATAAAGAATATATATAAGATATTTCATATAAGGCGAAAGATTTGCAAGTATTCATGAAATTCGTGAAAGGCACTTCACTTTAAAATATGGTGAAAAATAGTGAGACTAATTTGATTAAATTAATAATTAAATAATTGATTAAACTTTTCGTAAGTTAATTTTAATGAAACATAGCTAAGTAATTTACTTTTCAACTCTGCAAACAGAAAATATCGAACTGATTATTGGATTTTAAAATTTTAAATAAGTGCGTATTAAAAGCTTTCAAGACTGATTATTTTATTGAGAATCAGATGATTCCTAGGGTTTTGTTTGTTTTTCAGAATAACATATTCATGGTGAATTTCGCTTTTTACAGCGCTTTATAAATAATTCAGAAAGATGAAATTGTCTGCTTTGTGACATTCTTTTTAACACTGTGTGCGTGGTATTTTAAACTTCCTCATCTGAAGTGAACCGCTTTCAACGCAATTATCTTTTTTGTGTTGAAAATGCACGTATATCACCCAATGCTAAGTCTGGGTAATGTGAAGTGTGTTTTAATGCTGTTCCGTTGATCTCAGAGAGTGCTTCCAGTTTCAATGCAGTAACATCCTTCAAACGTTCTGGAGTAAGACATAATTTTTCTTGAGCAAATCCAGTTTTCTTCCTTATGGCTTCACGAAAAGAGGTTTTTTAAGATATCTGCATAACAGGTACCATTCACTGCTCATGGATTACCGATGTCTGCCCATAGACCAACAATGCTGACAGTTGTAACTGTAATAGATAGTTTGTAATACGTGCTTTGCTGGTCACTGGCATGTTACCGTTCACAACTGCATTTACTATTAGAATGTTGAAGTATCGCTCTTTCAACACCACATGCATGCCACATCTCTTTTGATGTGACCAAATGCTAATATCGTAAATATCTAATGGAAGGCTCATTCCCGTCTATAAATATATCTTTCATAAAAGCCAGTACAAGCTTGCCACATCTAATACCGCGAAAAAGAAATACATCCAATCTTTAAACTTTTCAATCAACATTCGTACATAAATATCATAACTAACTGAATTTACAGTTTGTATATATGGCAATAAATCCTGTTTTGAAATTTATGATGTACGAAAATGCTGTATGCAATCCTATAATAATTTCAGGGCAAAATAAATAAAAGTTATCAGGTTACTCGAATCGCTTGTTCAAAAATTCGTTAAAAAATTCATAATAGAAATCCTTAAAGCAATAATCGATCTCTGTTTAATTTAAAATTTCTATTGAATTAAAAACCGTAAATTAGAGATAAATCAGAAACAAGTTATAAAGACATTAGATATTTTTTGAAAGGGATTTAAGAGATGAAAAATGAGTAATGCTCTCGCCGGTACTCCAATCTCTCAAAAGTACGCGCCGAGTGTGCTGGCCATTACATCACGAAGGCATGCTAAGAAGGCGGGAGAACTACTTTATAAAGTGATAACGAATAAACTTTATATACATATAGCCAGAATGACTTTTCCGCTTCTTCTCTCACGGTTATAAATATGTTCCCCATTTTATTGTATTGTTACGAATTTTGAGTTAGAGAGCTTTTAGAGTTTAGAGAGTTTTTGTGAAATTATATGTGAAATTGTTGTATTTTTTCCCAATGTATCTAATACGAAAAGCTGAAAGAATTGATGCTCTGCCGGAAAAAGAAGAATTCAATAGCAAGTCTGTTTAACATTGGGTAATTAGTTAACGTTATTCGCTTTGTTAACGTTATTGAGTAAATAGTTAACGTTATTGCAGAATTAACGAGCGTTAATTCTGCAAGATATCGCCAAGCTGGCAACAGTTTTGGCAAGTAATTTTTGTTGCCCAAGTTGGCGAGAAATCGCAAAAAGTATGTCGTATACAGAGACACTGGTGACATTTTAGTCCGGTCTCTGTATCACCGTACTGTAATTGAATAGCTGTAATTTATTTTATACGTAACTGTAATCGTATCCAGCCCTCATATGCCTTCTAGTAAGTTAAGAAGCAGAAATCTTTCAGCAGCTGAGAGGAAATTATATAAGACCGACGATAGCATTATTTCCTCAGTTGTTGTTGTGAGTTGTTAGTTTAGAGCGACTTTTGCGTATTGAGAGTTTCGCCTTTTAGATGCTTTGCATTACGTTGTGTTTAACGTTCGTAGTAGTCTGAAGTGTAATTACTGATTGTAGTCTGTGATACTGTGAACACCTGTACGAGCATTTCTGCGGAAATTTCCAGAATTCTGAAGTGTTTATATATTACAAATTTTATCAACTTATCATCGGACCTGTGTGCAATTTTATCTACTATTACGAACCCATACGGCCGCAATAGCATTTATAATTTTCCAGAAAAAAACAAACCCTGGC